TATATATATAATAATAATAATAATAACAACTTAAACATTCCAGTGAAATGTAGCAATTAACTCAAAAAATGAAGGCTAGTGATAGAAGGTTTTGTCTATTCTAAATAAAACGAAAAAAGGCACGGTAAAATATTTTTTTTTAGTTTGAGTATGTAGAACATGCCTTTGCTTGCCTTGACAGTCAATCACTGCCAGATAATTCTTGTGTTAGGCATCAGATTATGGATAGTTGTAAGTGTTCCTTTTATGCGACATGTAATGTCTCCCTTATTGCTTGCATGAATGTCATTTGTCCCTAACTTTAGATGTGTGTGTCATTGTTGCTTTGCAGATACCTTGCTATCCTGTTAACAACTTTACTGAAATTTAAAAAAAAGATTTATTTCATCTGTTCTGGGTCCCTAGTAATGTAGAGAAGATCATAGTTCAGGGGTGAGGTGATCAAGTATTTGCAGCTAGTGTACATGTTTAAATTCAGTAAGAGGATGTAACGGCCTAAACCCGTATTGACTTGCAGACACAATACCAACCTCCTTATACACTCCAGTCCCTAGTTCCTTTTCTTTTTGACCAAAAGATTGTCATTATACAGAACATTCTAGTATAAGGCATAAAACATTAATTTTGCTCCTTTTTTAAAATGATAAAAAGGGGTGGATGGAATTTTTTTTTTTTTTTTGCACTCATCAGCTGCAATACAAATATATATAGTTCTGAAAAGAACTGATGTTGTTGGTTGAGAATATCTCGACGTTTCGGTTGACTTGCTTTAACCGTCTTCAGGAGAATAATATCTGCAGAGATCTCAAACAGGGAAATACTTGTATGTTGGAGTGATGAAACTTGCTGCTGATTGATTGAAAACTAAACAAAGGCTGAGCCTACCAGTGAAAAGCTATACAAAAGCTAAAATTCACGGTCTGAATAGAAGGGTGGGGCGTGGCTATCGCCCTCTCCTCTTAATTGTTCTTGTTCAATTGCATGTTTAATATTGTTTCTTGTGTGTGGAAACAAATTGAATATAGTTACTCTTATTCTTAAATACAACTAGGCATATATTGTCAACAGGTCGCTAGTTAAGCCAACATTGTTTTTGACAAATGACATGCTTCTGTCTTGCTTTAATAAAATAATGCTGACTGCAAAATGTTCAGTATATGTTCACTCAGGATTCTTAAAGGAGTGTTGCCATTCTAAATTTAAACAAACATCTACTGAGGGAATATAGTGGAATCTTTATCCTCATAAGCTAAGTGCAAGCAATTTCTATCCTTATATTCTTGCAGTGAAAATTGAGATTGCACACTGTGTCTAAATTGCACATTTTTCATTCGATTCTCTTGCCTCCTTCAACAAAAAATAATAATTGCAGTTTCGCATTTGGTTCATGATCTTATTCCTTTTGAAACATTTTTCCAAATTCCTCTTAAATTGTACTTGTTCAATTACATATTTAATATTGTTTCTTGTATGTTGAAATAAATTGAATACGGTTACTTAAATACAACTAGGCATATATTGTCAACAAGGTTGCTAGTTAAGCCAACATATCAAAAGGCATGGCATCATATGTTGTGTAGTAACACTTATATTTTCCAATCAAAATGATTCTTTGCATTTCTTTGTTTTTAACATGAGACATATTTCTGTTATGCTTTATCAAAGCAAGAGAGACAGTAAGATGCTCTGCATACATTCTATTGGCGATTGTAAAAGACGCACACAATGTATCGGGACGGTCTGCCGTCGTCTCTCAGCATAGTATTTTTGATGACATTTACAAAGCAAATAAATTTAGCTTCTTCTCAGAGAATGTCTATCGCCCTCTCCTCTTAATTGTACTTGTTCAATTGAATGTTTAATATTGTTTCTTTTGTGTGGAAACAAATTGAATATAGTTACTCTTATTCTTAAATACAACTAGGCATATATTGTCAACAGGTCACTAGTTAAGCCAACATTGTTTTTGACAAACGACATGCTTCTGTCTTGTTTAATAATATAATGCTGATTGCAAAATGTTCAGTATATGTTCACTCAGGATTCTTAAAGGTGTGTTGCCATTCTAAATTTAAACAAACATCTACTGAGGGAATATAGTGGAATCTTTATCCTCATAAGCTAAGTGCAAGCAATTTCTATCCTTATATTCTTGCAGTGAAAATTGAGATTGCACACTGTGTCTAAATTGCACATTTTTCATTCGATTCTCTCGCCTCCTTCAACAAAAAATAATAATTGGCAGTTTCGCATTTGGTTCATGATCTTATTCCTTTTGAAACATTTTTCCAAATTCCTCTTAAATTGTACTTGTTCAATTACATATTTAATATTGTTTCTTGTATGTTGAAATAAATTGAATACGGTTACTTAAATACAACTAGGCATATAT